GCCGCCGCCGCCGCCGCCGCCGATTATGGAGGCGACGAGGGGGCCGCACAGCTCGGCCGCCCGCCCCTCCCCCCCCCCCCCTTCTCCCTCCTCGCCGCCGGGGATGGCCCAACAGTCTAGCCTCAACAGCCAGTCCCTCCGAAGGTAATTACGGTTGGCGGCGGCTTCCCAGTGTGCACAGTTGGTTGACGACGACGGAGTTCACACTGCCAGCTGTAGTGAGCTTTTAGCACGAACCGTGCCTGGCATGGTGAGTGAATGAGTATGCATGAAGTTGAATGAGACTGATGCATTGCATCGTTTGTCTTTGAAGTTATACTGTAAAGTACGTTGCATTTATTGTTTCGGATAAACTGCCTCAAACTGAATTGCAATGAGCAGGACAATCGTTAGCTGAACTACTGTCGGAATGACGCTTCGCAACAATTCATCTCCCGTCCTCATCGGTGCTAATACACGTCTCAATACCACCGACGTCCAGAACACCAGACTGGCGGACCGCATATCTTCACCTTGACACAACATGATGGGCAACTTTCCCTTGTTGTACGTTATGGACACCGTTGGGCGTCATCTGTAATGCAGATCCCGGAGCGACGGCACACTGGTAGTGGCTAACGATACACTCAAACCTGCGATCGATTTTAGCGTGATCCGGTGGGAAAAGACTGTCCTTACTCCGAACGGCCGGGATCTGGAAGTCTGATTTAGTCTCAATAATTCTCAAAACCGAATCGACTCGGACTCTACAAACATGTCACGGCGCTGTCTGCGTGAAACGCGTTGGATATATATATATATATATATATATATATATATATATATATATATATATATGGCAACACCGTGATCTGTCACGGTGCTGCCATATCCAAAGTGCTTTGCCACGTATGCATTAGTCGTGCCGCTCTGCTCTGAGTCCTGGGCAGATTAAGGCATGGATAGCCATTCCATTACGGTCTTCAAAGCCAGCTTGAGTTTTAACAACAGCGACCGTTATGGCGTTACCTGAGCGTAAAGCGAACGCCTCTTCACATTTACACGCCAGCACTGACGTCATGGTGGACTATCGATTGTTCGTGTTGCTGCGCGCCACTAATAATCAATTCCAAAGTGCAATCTAGAAGCTGTCCTGGTGAAATGTGGGCCGGGACTACCCTGAACGTAATTTAAATGATTTTCCAAAGCCTTTGAGCGCATTTTTCCCAACACAATACGCTTATATATATATATATATATATATATATATATATATATATATATATAATGTGTATACGGTCGTTTCTGCACGCCCGGCTTCCGCCGCTAGGTGTCGGCTGCGGCGTCAATACCGCGCGGCAACAGGTGACTGTAACGCCGGTTGTCAGCATGTTTGCTATCAGACTATTGAAACCGATGTTTAGCCAATTGCCTTTTGTCGTTGGAACACCCAATCTAACATCGGTGCAATTACGAATACATACGCGGTCATGCTTTTATGCTAATGAAGAAAACGCAGACAATGAGTTTTGGTGCTCACGTGATATTTCTATGACGTCATAATACCTGGTAACCTTTAGATAGCACGCGCCAGGGGTGTAATTTCCTTTTCAGTTGGAAAGGCCCCCCCCCCCCCTCCAACTTTGAGAAGCATAATTTTGCATTGATCAGCCCTCAAAACCGCGTTAGAAAACTACTGCCGTGGTCTGGGGATTACACTGTACATGCATATACTTGCATCGAGCCCAGGATATTGTGGCATGTCCTTGCATCAAGGCCGGGATATTGTGGCGAGAGGGGAAGACATGGGACGGTAGCGAGCTGAGCCAGCTCAATGTCACCAACTCCCATAGGCGGATCCTGAAGCGGGGGGGGGGGGGGGGGCACGGGGCCATGATCTCCCCAAAACTCTGAGAGTATGTTTTGGCCCCACAAATATATTCCCAGAACTTCATAAAAGTTTCGTCTACTTACTGTCTGTTTTAACTTTGATGGTGCGGTGTCAAACATTTCCTTCCGTTTCGGAAAAACTTCATGAAGAAAAGTTCGCAGCGATTTGAGTATCAAAACAAAACGCGTGTTGACGCGGCTTAGTCATACTCGGCTTATGCTACGAGCTTTGTAAACAGTGCATGCTGTATATAGAAGATTCAAAAGCATTTTGGTGCTTGAATGGTGTCCCTACTAGGTACTCGCGAGAGGCACCATGCACTGGACCTCGGATCCCGCACCAGCCAGCTAGCGACGAACGGTTGCCCCCCCCCCCCCCCGTCCCCCAAAAAAACGACTCCAGGCTGGATCCGCCCCTGCAAAAACTCCTTCAACACCTCACGAGGGAAACATCTCTATCCATCATACACAAAGACGCGATACACGTTTTAACACTAAATGTCGCCTACTTCCTGATCTACAAGGAATCGTCCAATTCGGGACTCGCAGGCACAGCGTGTGTTCTACATCACTGCATTGACTTCCACTAGCTTCAGCTAAGCGTTGTCTGATGCCAGCGGAACTTAAGCGGCTAAGTGGAAAAAATCAACACAATGAAATCACAATGATCAACACACAATCACAATGATCAAGACAATGAAAGCTCAATGGCTACTGGCGATATCCATTCTACTTTCAAAGAATATATAGATGGTCCAAGTGTTAGTATTATAAACATGGTATTATGTGATAATGTTACAAGTTTGTGGGCGACCTGCCGCTATCCTAAATTTGTCGTTTTACACATCCGGGAACAGCTTTTCTCTCGCTACCAGTACTTTTATCTGCCTGTTATACTCACTTTAGTTTATGACCGGGCAGGTGTCCAGAATTTCAGCTGAATTGCCGGGGTGCGGCATTGTTCTCTCCATAGACCCTTTGTGATCTGTTTTCACACTCTGTTCCTGATAATGTTTGGGGCACTGATGATCAGGTGAATGAAGGCCGCATGCAGTTCCGGGTGCATACCCCGCACATGGGAGCACCTGGGCGGACCATCTACCACACATCACGGACCAGTATTCACGGAACATGGCAGCTGATGGAAAAGGCGTGGGCGAACGTGGACCCACCATCAGGACAGGACTCAAGGACAAAACCGCGGAAGTGGCCACGCGAGAGGAGCCCGCTTTGATGACGTTCTCAACAATGATCACTCATCACTGATGAGAACGCTGCCGGACCCGCAAACCACATCCGAAACTATTTTTCCTGATAAGTCGACACATTCGACTCCGAAAGGCATAAAACCCTGCGAGCAATTGTGGAGAGTCAATCACAAACGTGGAGGGCCCCGGAGCGATCGAAAGTGCCCATATAGGGCACTAGTCTATGCCCATCGAAGCCGTGACAGAAACTGGATGACCATCAACTGGAAAGCCGCAACGTGAGCGAGCTTCAATTCATTAGATGGCATGGAGCAGTTTATCTTTTTTTCTCAGCTCAGTACAAGCTAAAAATACCACTGAGCGTGACTTGCAAAATCGGGTCAATAATAAATGATTCTCGTTCGATTAAGATCTCACAGAGTGTCTAACGAATCGATGTAGGATCTCCGAGAAGATGGGACAGCCTCAGACAAATGTGAACGCCCCGCGATCGAGCGATCGAGGGTCCGAGGGTACATCATCACATAATATCACCAACAGCGCTGGGGGCTCCGAACAAACGGAAAGAACCAAGACTGAGACTGACGCGGCAGGTCATTAAGCGATCGGGAGCGTCCCGACAGGTTTTCTGGCCTCTGGCGAGCACGCAGGACCCTCCAAGTGAACAGGAAGAACCCAATGTGTTAGGCCGCTGAGTGGCCGGGGGCATTTCGCCGATGAACGTCTAAGCCCCCGGCTACAGCGTTGCGACCTCCAAGTACATCCAAAAACATGCCCAATGTCAATGTGGAAGCCCCCAAGCGTTCGAGGATGTTCGGGTTGACGGTTTGACAGCTAGCGTCTCCGATGAGAACGAAGGACACCCTATAGACGACGATGATATTTCGAATTTTCGGGTTCGTTGACTACACTGGCCGTTTCGCACCTAGACATCACCAGCGCAGAGCTCGCCCACCCCCCCTCCCCCCCCCCCCCTCGGATCGGCCCGCTGGGGTTTTCACGGCCTTCCCCAGAAGGATGATGGTGACGCGCCAGCTCCGCCCTTCGTTCAATGAGGGGAGGGAAAAAGTTTCAAGTCAGCCTTCAAAACATTGCTCCTGGCATAGAAGACACGGCCGCTCCACGGCGGAGAAATGATCACGTTGCGCAGTGGAATGGTGGAGCGCTAAGTGAAATGCACGAAATGACCATAGCCAAAGCGCTACTATCGCGTTTTATTTCTCAGTTGACTGGATCTGCTGTTTCCGCTTTTTGCGCATATCTAGAATTACCCACGTCCTTCATAGTGCGTCCGGCACGCGTGTGACGTCACGCGTTGTCAGCCGCGGCGGACGGCGTTTGGCGACGAAGAACGTCGCCAGGTCGGCTTCACCGGCGTTACAAGCCCCCCCCCCCCCCCCCCCTCCCGCTCCCCCGACGGAATCTGAGCGCCGCGTGGACATTCCAAAGCCCCGCCGAGGCCGCAGATATGGCTGGCCACACCGCCCAGTGCGGCGGTCACGAAGAGAGCGACCACAGCGGGGAGTGACCAGCGGCCGGACTCGACCCCGTCCGCGGCGGTCGTGCAGAGCATCGCCTGTTGAAGCGACCGCAGCGGGATGACCAGCGGCCGGACTCGACCCCCGTCCGCGGCGATCGCGCACTAGCATCAGCCTGTCGAAGCGACCGCAGCGGGAGGGCCAGTGTGGTCAGGACGGGCCCGGACCAGGTCAAAAGGTGGCCCAGGTGTCAAAAAGGCCGACAGATGGGGCCCGGGTCAGGTCAACGTACAGGCTCATCCGGATCCGAGTGTGACCGTCTTCTGGACGGCCTGCAGTTCATTCATCATCATTGATCAATCATCATCCATTAGCATTGATCAATGCATTACACCATGCATTTTAGTCTATTTTAGTCTGACTTCATCCAATCCTAAACGACCGATGCGGGCACCAAACATGTATTGTACAGGCATTTTGTACCGCCCTGTCCCATACCAGGCGGCGAACCGTGGGTGGAACGCCAGTAAAAGACGGCCTCAACCGACGCTAAAAGCACGCAACGTGCACAAAGACAGCGCCACCGCGTGCGACATTTCACCAGCAACAAACTCAACGCGTCCCATGCGCATGCCGTGGGACGCCTGGGCACAGCCGGGGCCCCATAGTTTCGAATTCATCCACAGCAGGCTCGTCTCGTCGCTCGCCGCCGAGTGGACCGCCGCCTCCCGGCGACTGGTAGTGTCGCTAGCTCTGCGTGTCTGTGTCGTCCTCGTTGTCCGTGGCCTCGCCGCCCTCCGCCCCGTCAGCCTGCGCAGGGGGCGAGGTCGGTGAGGGGACGACACGGAGTGGCGGGCCCGCCGGCTGGGACGACAGCAGCCCTTTACGAGCGGCCATTGCGGAGAGGCGCCACAGCAGCCAGTCGTGAAGGGCGGCTATTGTAACAGAGCTGACTAACAGCCGCTCGCACAAATCATCTCGCCGAAAACGCAGCTAAGCGCGTGACACCACTTCCATACCTTCCACCACGCATATCTGAAGGACGCACATTGCGATAATTGAACGGGAAGTCGGCAGTATCGTGGTTCCCTGCGCGAGGAGGCGCGCTTAACTATCCTAAAGAGCGGGACACCCTGCGGTGGTCGTGCCGCCCTCAAAGAGGCATTGGGTTTGTTAACTTCGGAAACCTCCAGACTGACGGATACCGTGCGGCGTGCATGTTAGAGGCACTCACTCAAGAACAGGGGACATGGCATGACATGACGAGGCATGATCGACGGCCAACAGAGCGTCTGTCACGCCCACAGAGCATCTGTCACGTCCACAGAGCGTCTGTCACGTCCACAGAGCGTCTGTCACGTCCACAGAGCGTCTGTCACGTCCACAGAGCGTCTGTCACGTCCACAGAAGCGTCTGTCACGCCAGCAGAGCGTCTGTCACGCCCACAGAACGTCTGCCACGCCACAGAGCGTCTATCACGTCCACAGAGCGTCTGTTACGCCCACAGAGCCTCTGTTACGCCAGAAGAGCGTCTGTCACGCCCACAGAGCGTCTGACACGTCCACAGAGCGTCTGTCATCCGCCAAAAGAGCGTCTGTCACGCCCACATAGCGTTTGTTACGCCAGCAGAGCGTCTGCCACGTCCACAGAGCGTCTGTCACGCCCACGGAGCGTCTGTCACGCCCACGGAGCGTCTGTCATCCGCCCAAAGAGCGTCTGTCCCGACCACAGGACGTCTGGCATGCCTACGGAGTGTTTGCTACGCCAACAGAGGGTCTGGCACGCCAACAGAGCGTCTGTCATTCGCTCCCCTCCGGGTGGGTGCAACACTGCGTTAACCGGCAGTCTTCATCGCCACGCCCTCGTGTCAAATGTCCCAAACATAAGTATAGCGTCAAATGGTGTTTGTCGAAAGTCACTTGTCAGTCTGCTAACCTCGTCGGAAAGTGGTCTAAATCAGCGCAAAGCCCCTGGGAAGATCATCAGAAGAAAATCCACCCACAGAGCCCCACCCCAACACCCACCTGTCACACTCACCTCAGACCCGACCACCCGCGTTGGCCACCCGCCAAGGCTCACCTGTTTGACAGCCGTCAGACAAACGCCGTTCTCCACGTGACCAGGTCTGGCCTCCGGCACCGGCGCACACGACCGTCAGCAGCGTGTGCGGCGGTGCCGCCCGGTACAGCCGGCGCAGACGCTTGTCCAGCTTGCGGAGGTGGCGGCGCGCCTGCTCCTCCGACAGCGACCAGTGCAGCCGGTCGCGCAGCTCCAGGTGGCAGAAGCGTGAGGTCGGCCGAAGCCAGGGCCGCGCCCGCCTGGTCGCACGCCTGCCGGGGCGGGGAGGGAGGGGGGTCAGAGGGGTGCTCCTGTGCTCGCGCGCGGACGGGGGTCAGAGGGGTGCTCTTGTGTTCCTGCTCGCGGCGCGGAGGGGGGGGGGGGGCGTCAGAGGAACGCTCCTGTGGCTGCTCGCGGCGCGGAGAGGGGTCAGAGGGGTGCTCTTGTCGTCCTGCTCGTGGCGCGGAGGGGGGGGGGGGGCGCCACAGGAACGCTCCTGTGCTGCTCGCGGCGCGGGGAGGGGGGTTCAGAGGGAGCTCCTGCGCTCCTGGAGACTCGCGGCGTAGAGGGGGAAGGGGGGCATCAGAGGGGTGCTCCTGTGTTTCCTGCTCACGGCGCGGAGGGGGAGGGTCAGAGGGACGCTCCTACGCTCGTGGAGCGGAGAGGGGGGGGACGTCAGAGGAACGCTACCTGTGTTGCTCGCGGCGCGGAGAGGGGGTCAGAGGGAGCTCCTTTGCTCCTGGGCTCGCGGCCTAGAGGGGGGGGGGGGGGCAGGCACAGAGGGACGCTCCTGTGCTCCTGATCTCGCGACGTCCGATCGTGACGCCTGGCCTCTCATCCTGACCACTGCAATGAACCTTCCATTCTGCAGTCCCCGTTCCACTTTATAATACTGTCTGATCGGAAAAGATAGATATATATATATATATATATATATATATATATATATATATAAATTGGCATGCCGCCGATGTAACGACGCTCTGCACTCTGCACCGCGCCGACCGCTCGGTCTTATGGCCCACGCAACCATCTTTTATTCAACAGCGCAATCACTCGAATACAGCTCGTCTTGGTGTACACCCAGCGCGATTATGCGTCCACAAGGACTGATGACACCATGTAGCTTTACGAGGCGCCGCAGCACAGCTGACGACGGCGGCGGCAGCGGCGGCGGCGGCGGCGGCGGCGGCGCAGACCCAAGGCCAGCAGCAAGCAGCGCACCCACCTGCCGGTTGCTGGGCGCCTGCTTGAGCGTCAGGGACGGGTGATTGGTGGTCTCGCAGGCCACGCGGTAGATGTCGGCGCCCGGACCAGACTGCCACGATCGCAGCTGCCGCCAGAACGGGGCGTCAGGCACTCCCGGGCGGCGGAAACGGCGCGCGCGACAGACGCGACGCGGCGGAGCGGAAGGCGGCGAGGGTTTCGCTGAAGTTACAACGTGTGGTGTGTCATAAGGCTGACCGAATGCCGTGTCATTCTGTTCCAATGATGCTGCGAAAACGCGTGCGGTAATCGCGCCGCGTTTTCGGAGTCGGAGCTGGTGACACAACATAAATAGCATGCACTGATGACGACCCGCTCCTCCGCGCAGTTAAGCAGGCAGTAGCCGCCCATAACCCCCAATCTGACGACCATCTCATCCGGAGTTCACGGCCATGCAAGAGCCGGCGGCGGCAGCAGACGGAGCCCGCCCATGACAGCCGACCGTGACCGGCGCTGGCGAGATCGGCAGGTGCATGCAGGACGGGCCGAACAGCGGGGGGAGATAGCAGCCGCCCATAACTCAAGCCCACATCGGTGAGCCGACCGACAGGATAAGCGAGCGGCAGCGATACACGGTATGGAATCGGCTTCCTCGTCAAAAGGATCGTTGCTCATGCGGATCAGCCGTGTGGACGGCATACTTCCAGATGGACAAACTGATACTGTCGCCATATCAGGAGCGCACTGACTCGACACATGCTAATGGTCTCAACTTGGCAAGCTCTGCTCATTGAAGGCACTGCACGTACCAAAAGGACGAGATTATATGCATTCGATGTTCACAATAACATTCTGATGCTCGCAGACCACCAGGATGTGCATACCAGCTCTCATGCACACTCATACATACAGGCATGTGTACATGCATACACACACACTACATATATATATATATATATATATATATATATATATATATATATATATATATATATATATATATACGTATGTATGTATAATACACACACGCATGTATGAATACACACACATACCTTCATGCATGCATGCAAACATGCATATATATATATATATATATATATATATATATATATATATAATACCGGCGCTCGCACGGTTCTGCAAAGTAATCAACACGACCGTGGGGTGTTCCAGTAGCCGTCCATAACCCCCCTCTCCCCTCCCATCCCCGGCTCACTCACTGGTGACGCCGACCTCGTCCATGCGGCTGAGCAGGCTGGTGTAGTAGCCGTCCATATTGACGGCGGCGGGCAGGGCGCCGTCGTCGGCCGGCTCCGGGCCGGTGCCGTTCATCGCCGGCACGTAGCCGCCCTGCGCGGCGTCGCCGTAGGCATAGCCGCGCGCCAGCTTGCGCTGCACCAGGCGCAGGGAGGCGAGCGCGTCCTCGGTGGCGTCGTGGCCCGTCTCGTCGTTCTGGGGGGGGGGGGGGGGGAGAGGAGGGGCTCTGTAATGTGTGTTGGGGGGGGGGGAGGAGCGCTGTGCTGTGGCGACGGAGGCGATTAGAAGTGGCGCTGCGGTGGGGACCGGCACGGGACGCTGACAGCACGCGGGCGGCGCTCCGTTGGAATCGGGCCGAAGGATTTCTCTCGTGTTGTCGCCTCGATTGTCTGACAGTGACGGGCGTTTGTTGGCGGGTGGAGGACCTCACCTGTATCGGGCGTTTGGCGGGGTGGAGGACCTCACCTGTATCGGGCGTTTGGCGGGGTGGAGGACCTCACCTGTATCGGGCGTTTGGCGGGGTGGAGGACCTCACCTGTATCGGGCGTTTGGCAGGGTGGAGGACCTCACCTGCATCGGGCGTTTGGCGGGGTGGAGGACCTCACCTGTATCGGGCGTTTGGAGGGTTGGAGGACCTCACCTGTATCGGGCGTTTGGAGGGGTGGAGGACCTCACCTGTATCGGGCGTTTGGAGGGGTGGAGGACCTCACCTGTATCGGGCGTTTGGCGGGTGGAGGACCTCACCTGTATCGGGCGTTTGGAGGGTTGGAGGACCTCACCTGTATCGGGAGTTTGGAGGGGTGGAGGACCTCACCTGTATCGGGCGTTTGGAGGGGTGGAGGACCTCACCTGGATGGTCTCGCCAAGAAACATGTAGGAGAGCAGCGACAGCTTGGTCTTGCGGTGGCGCACGCCCGTGATGTTGAAGATGACGCTGGTGTCGATGATGTACGGGTGCATCATCTGACGGGGCAAGGCGGCGACGTCACCACGGGTGCGCCCCTGTCAGCGTCAGCGTGCCTCCGGCTACGTGACGTCACAAGACACGGTCCGGCCACGCCGCAACCCCTGTTTTGAAGATGACTGTCCTCCACAACACCGCCAACTTCACCATCCCGCAGCCCATGACAGAACAGTTGCCTTGGATGAGTACCCGTCGCCAGCAACGAGCTGCAATCTCTGCTGCGTATTGACTTTGCAGCCGCCCTTTGATGACGTCACGGTGATGAACGGCACACACCCTGCGGCCCGACGGGATAGAGGCGTAAGCGGCGCAAACGCTTCAGAACCGGTTGTATAGCCCTGCAGGGGCGTGGGTATCTGCTCGTAAACCTTTATGAGCAGGGACAAGAGTCTGCTCCGCTTCGCTGGCTGAGGCCAGATCGCGCCACTGCGGCCAGAAGAAGCACGGCCATCTCCCGTCGCTCTACGCCGCGCCTCCCGCGGGTTGCAGCTTGCTCTGCACTCATGAATGTCAGCAGCAAAGAAGCGCAGCGTACAAGTCTGAGCCAGCGTCCCAAATGCACTCAGCAGTGTGCGCAAGAGGTAAATATAACTTGATGCCGCCGGAGCTCTAGCTCCCCAGTGGTCTCCAGTCTCGCACAATCCGTTGGCTGGTAATCCCTTGCCCTCCGACACCCCGAGCCACGCCGTCTGTCCTGCCCGTCCCAGCTGTCGAGCCGGAGGCGCCTTGATTTCGGGTCGACCGCCGCCCGGCTCGATGCTGATTGGCCAATTTTGAGTCAGGGGAGGAGCAACAGCCAGAAACACCGCGAGTCGGGGTGCGATAGGATGAACAATCGCCTCCCTTGCCGCTCAAGTGGCCGAATATCAACACACCGGTCTGAGCAAGGACTCAAGCTCAATCAATCAAATGGTCCGAGCTGATCTCCTGAGCCCACATATCCTTCCATAATCGGATAAAACTAATCTGATCTCAGCCGGCCCTCAACGAATCTGGGGGGGGGGGGGCTGACCCGACACCCCTGACCTGCCCCCATCTCAGCCCGGATGTCCACCTGGAGGGCACCCTGGCCTACCCCCACCACCATCCAGATGCGACCTCCGCCAAGAAGTTCACCTGGAGTGCGCGCAGGTCATTGTTAAAGCTCTGGCCGATGAGGATGGCGTCAGCCGGCAACAGGCGCCGCAGGTCACGCTGTACGTCCTCCAGTCTCGTGGTCACGCCCTGCGGCGGCGGAGGAGGGTAAACAGGATTAGTTCCACGGAATGCTATCCGAGCTGATGTAAGACAAGCCCGGCGATTGGCCTGTCACCCAAGAGCCGCGCCGTTGGTGGAAGGCAGTAAATGCAACAATGCAATCGCCGCGACCATAAAAGCATTGAATAAGGCCGACTAACATCATAGTGTGGCAAATCGCACATGGCTGCAAGGATTGCGTTATTAACATGTTTACAGATGTTCGTTCCAAAGTATTCGTTGCAGTCGTGTTCATCTGTTACAGTGACGCTCTTTTGTTTCGAAATACCCACCAAATCAGATGTATTTAGCCACATTATGCTCTTGCTGGTCTAAACTAAACTATAGGTGTGTGCATGCCATGTTGAGTGCTCCCAAGTGCTTTTGTTCTTGTTTTCCGGCGAAGCAGTGAATTTACGGAATACGCGTGCACAAGCGCACCTGCGTCCCTCTTGAAAAAACAACCGGTGGCCACGTCTCAAGCACACACGATCCCCGGACGGCGCCCGCCGCAGGCCCCACAGCCGCAGAGGCGGCGCGGTCCACGACAGGGCGCTGCCCGCCCCTCCCCCTCCACAGCTGGCCGGCGGCTGACCTCGAGCCGCTCGGCGGTGATGCCCGAGTAGCGGGTGAGGTAGTCGGTGATGGGGTTGTCGGGCCGCACCAGCGTGCCGTACACCAGCTCCTCGGCTTCGCTCAGCACCGAGATGCTGGTGAGCTCGCTGCCCTCGCGCGTCAGGCACATCTCGCAGTCAACGGCGAACATCGGCGAGTCGTCGGTGACCTGGGGTAGGCAGCGCGGGCCGTCACGGCACGGAACCAGCGGCCGGCCGGCGCCTCAGCGACACGCTGCTCTGAGCGGGAGGGCTTGAATACGACGCCGTTGCTTCAGACGCGTTCGTGTGATCGCAGTCTCCAGGTCAGCGACGTCGGTGTTGTGAGGACGGAGCAAACGATCGGCGCAGACCTCATCAGCCGACGCCCTTCTACCTGGCCAAATCGTGTCGATGTCAAGAGCGTGACACGCACAACTGCACAGCAAAACCGAACCCCCAATGTCTGCTGCTTGCGTCTCTCAAGTGATAACTGGCTACCGCCGACGGCAACGTGCCCTCCCCATTTCCTACCATCTCGAACACAACCTTGCCACGAGAGCACATCCACGTCTCGGGGCACCTGTGACGTCTGCATCTTCCTAAATCTTCAGACATTTTCTGAGGCATTGCAATAGTTACCATCCGCCGGAATGTCACCCACTAAACCAAATCATCCCACTCTCAAAGTGTCCCTCCCACTCCAGCCCCAGACTAACCGGCTTGTACTTGTCCTTGGTGGGCACGAATCCGCGGAAGGCCTTGCTGTAGAGGCCGGCGCCAGGCAGCGGGTAGCCCTCCTCCATCAGCTGCGAGATGTCCAGCAGCAGCGCCGTGCGCCCAATGGCCGCCGGCTGCGGCAGCGCCTGGGGCAGATCGCTGCCGCCGCCGCCAGGGGCGCTGGTGTCGCCCCACTGCCGGTGGATGAGGCCCGCCTGCACGGCTCCGTCCAGACTCCCCAGCTCTGTGGCGGCGGACGGCGGGACGTGATCAGTCATCGGATGACCTCACGGTCGGTGGGACGCTTCCAGTCACGCCCCATGTATCGCGGCGGACGGCAGGACGTGATCAGTCATTGGATGACCTCACGGTCGGTGGGACGCCTCCGGTCACGCCCCATGTATCAGCGAACCCTAAGTGTCGCCATGCTCGTGTGGAGGTGGGACAGAGGCAGCTCCCTCTGGCTGGAATCGAGCCCAAATGTGCCGATCGCGAGCACCTCCACAGCCACTCAAGCCCCATCCCGTGATGTTATCGGGACCGGAGAGGCCGGGGGGTTTCTACATGCCGATGATGGGTAGTGGCACGCCAGGCCCGAGCGCTGGGGTGTACTATGCTGCTCACGCTGAACGAGCCGGTGCTTCTGCGTCATGCTGAGCGGCACGTTCAGGATCTCCTCGGCTACGCTGGTGCCGTAGTGGGCCGGCGAGATCAGCTCCGTCTGCGGCAGCGCCCATCTCGCGTCAACCGTCAGGATCGTGCCCCGCCATCGCTACCTGAACAGAGCGGTGAATGGTAGCTGTGTCTCTCGGCACCTCGTGTCGCATCGCACCTCATCAGTCACGTGCCTGGGGTCAGCACCACGGGTCAAGGCGGGCAACATGGCAGCCAACCCCTACCGGAACGACAGTGTAGAGAGTGAAATCAACATACAATCATCATCAATCAACATACTTCAAGTGCACTCACTGCTATCATCATCTTTGTGAATACATATTTGAAAGCTGATTACATCCATTGGTATGAAAAAGCGATACACAAATAAGGCAGCGCAGCTGCGACGCCCCCTAGAGTCCGATGGGGGGATGGGTCGGAGGCGTGTCCACGCCGTACCTGATGCGGGAAGAGGGTCAGCGTGGACTTCATCAGGTCCTGGTGTAGCTGGAGGTCACGCAGGGAGAGGCCGTCCACCACCATGGCCACCGTGCGGGAGATCCGGTCCGCGTTCAGTAGGTTGCACCACCTGTCGGTGCGCAGGAGCGGCACGTCACACCACGTGGAGGGAAATGGTGGCCGAGGTGATGCTTGAAGGAACAAGGGCGCCAAACGAACCGCGTTTAGGGCTCGGTTGTGGTGCGATATCATTATCAGAGATGTCCATATCATGCTATGTTACAACGTCTCTAAGAACGAGTGTCATGCTTCATTACACACGGGATCGACTGTGCAGGTTTCCGCAAGCTCAGAGACACCATCCCACGCTGGAAATCATTTTACGCCTTGTAGTATGCAGTAACGAGCTTGCAAACCGAGCACGCGCGGCGCACGCCTGCCCGGTCACCGCGTCAGACGTATGCCTGAGTCCCTATCAGGACGTCTCGACAGTACGGACATGGTGGGCTAGGGCGCGCAGGCCCGCCCGGTCTCCTCGTTAGAGGTGTGGTTGAGTCCCTATCGGGAGGTCCCGGGTCCAGTCCGGGAGGTCCCGGGTCCCGAGTCCGGGAGGTCCAGATCCAGTGCGGACCTGGTGGTCCAGAGCGCACGCATGCCTACCCCGTCCCCGCGTCAGAGGCATGTTTGAGCCCCCATCGGGACGTCTCGGTGGTACGGACCTGGTGGGCCAGGGCGCGTGGTCCGGCACGACCGCGTTTAACAGCAGCGTCTGCACGTCCCGCATGAAGATGGGGGTCCTGCTGTGGGCGGCCATTAGCAGGGAGGCGTGGTCGCCCGTGGAGGAGAGCTGGAACTCCGGACACCGCTGCAACGGAACAGGTCACGGGGTCAGGTCACCAACGGAACAGGTCACAGGGTCAGGTCATCAACGGAACAGGTCGCCGGGTCAGGTCACCAACGGGACAGGTCACCGGGTCAGGTAACCAACGGAACAGGTCACCGGATCAGGTCACCAACGGGACAGGTCACCGGGTCAGGTCATGAACGGAACAGGTCACCGGGTCAGGTCACCAACGGATCAGGTCACCGGGTCAGGTCGCAAACGCAACCCGGAACCCAGAAACACAACGGATTTGACACTCGTAGCGCTGCAGTGCTGGCTGTGCCTATGAACTGGGTCCTTCTCGTAGGTCCGGCCATTAGCTCCAATCGGGTCGATGAAGGGGTCAACTATCATGGGCAAGTCGCAGCGTCAGTCCGATACACAGCCACGGGAGTGACTTTTTGAGCCATGCCGCCGTTCACCTCCTTCCTCCGCTTCCGCCGCAGCGAGGTGCGCATCGCCTGGTAGTCGTCGGCGCTGATCTCGTCCGACGGCTCCGCCTGGAACAGCGGTCAGACGGCGCTGCTGACGGCAAGCAGGAGCCGACAGGCGCACAGTGCTGTCACGTGGGCGCGGGGCCTAGGAGGCGTTGAAAACCCTTTCCAAAGAGATTTCCGACTAGCATGCACTCCTCATCGCATATATATATATATATATATATATATATATATATATATATATATATATGCATTAACTTTCCCTAGCATTTCCATCCCTAACAGCTTCTCGTTCGGGATACAGCTAGAAGGGCTACTTAAAAGCACCCAATCGGCACACATATATGAGATATTCGCGTCCAAGTCCACAAGGCTGCCAACTAACGCTGCCGGCCTTCGTTTCGACCGTAGCGAGGCGGCGGCTTCTGGTCCCGTGGCAGGTATTGTCCAGGTGGTCACGGCACAGTGGGGAGATAATATTGGTGACACAACAGGGAAACAACAGTGGCACTGCTGGTCTGGAGTCGGCAGCGTCCAATGAAAGGATCGAAACAACCATTTGGAGAATGCTCGCATACTGTGCAGTCCTCATGTGAAAAGCAAGCAGAATTGTGAGCCCATTGCACTTCTGAAGTCACAACTATCCTTCTTATCCGTGGTTTCACAGCTCGTGGACTCGTCCGTGACGTCACAGCTTCCTTTCTCGCGCCGGTGACGTCACAATGCCTACCTGTGTCGTGTCTGCCGCCGAGGAGCCTGCCGTCGGGGGCCGCTTTCCCGCCCGACACTCGTGCTCGCCGGAGGCCGCTCCCTGTCGCCGCATTTAAACATCAGCGCAAGATGTGGTCACCGTAGACTCAGGTGACACACCATACTGTGTGCCAGACTGTATCAAAGCCTGGATTTTCGTCCTTGGCGTGTGTATTATTTTGTTCCAAAAACTCCTCACGCTGTTCCTTTTGGGAGAGGTATTCCCCATCCCGTGGTGTTACTGGATGATCGGAATGTTTGCATATTAAAACCAGGCCACCGCCATACAGCAATCGAGTTCAGCTGGGCTCTACACAGCCATGAAGTAGTGGCGTCCATAAGTCCTAATTATAGCCATTCATGGCGAACGGGCAGTCCCACCTTGCCTCCATCCCGCGTCCTGTCATTGTGCAGCACCACCGCCAGCAGGGCCTGCAGCTTCCGCCGCCTGCGCTCGTGTCGACTGAGCGCCTTCGACGAGGAGAGTCTGGGCGCCTGGACTCCTGCACAACGAGCGCAGAGCGTCAACAGAGCGCTCCAGGCACGTGGTGGTGCGCCTGCGAAGCCTGCACAACGAGCACAGAGCGTCAACAGAGCGCTCCAGGCACGTGATGGTGTGCCTGCGAAGTCTGCTGATGAGCCAACGTCGCCGCCGACCGCGAGCGACGCGCCAAGGGTTCGTGAGAGCAGGTGAAGGCCACCACTAGAGGACTCGGACTGGAGCTCGTGAACGCTTTCGCCGGACAAGGCGACCGTTTAACGACGGCGCCACTCTGCTCCACGATCGACGACCGGGGCGTCCTGTAATGTGACGTCACGCATCGCGAGCGACCCCGACAACACGGGACGCGACCAGTGGTCAACTCGAGCCGAAGTCTATCCTGTTCGCTACAGTTATCCCCACAGCCAACTCGAGTCTATTCTTTTCTAATCTCTGCGCTATTTAACGTAGTGCAATTTCGCAAACCACCGCCGCTCACGACAGTCGGGTGCGTACAGCTGGCGAATACAAATACAGCAATGGTCCTCGAGCGTGAACATTCCTGAACCACCTGGGTGCGGGAAATTAGTATTTGACGCTTGTCTGAAAGGCATGGCAGCTGGGCACAAGTTCGATAGTGCTAGCAAATGTCCTAACATGGTGCATTGTAATTGCGCGGTAAAGTCATGTCCACTCATCGCCCTCTGCGTGTCCTACTCCAACAGTTTTGGTCTGCCTCGAGACCAACGGTCATGAATGAAGACCAACGGTCATGGACGACGCTGGTCACGAGGCCAGCGCCGCTGCCGGGGTCACGGCCGGGCGGCAGGCCACGCCTCCACACCCGGCGCGGACCGTTGTGCCGTGCGGGGGCCGACAGGCGGCGGCGGGTGGCGGCGGGCGGGGGCGAACTCACGCGCGCTGGGGCTGACCGCGCCGCTCAGTCGGTCCTCCGGCGTCGCAGGGGCGTCCAGCGGCCCGGAGCCGCCGCTGGTCGCCGCCGAGGCTGCCCTGGACGCAGCGCAGAGGTCAGACACGCACAAGTGACCGGGGACTGTTGCGGATCGGGCTCCGCGCTGGCGGTGGTGCGTCCGCTAAACCATCGGGCACGGTCGACACAAAAATACCATCGCGCAACGTATATAACCGGTGATTTTATACGCAAAAGTAAATACTTAAACTAGCTACAGGCATCAACGGCTGTTAACAGGTGTTACGTTTATGAAATACATATGCTACGGAGATTCCGTACAGCGGATTGATCGACGGCAGCTTACTTGGGTTCTGAATTTGCCTCTGTTCGCTTCTTCAGTGTGTTTGGAGCCGCCAGGAAAAAAGCGGGTTGTGCTGAAACATATTCAAAACTAGCTGGAGGAGTGGCAATGGAAAATCTCTCTCATTCAACAGTGCAATAAGGGTGGCTTATTGGGCAATGTGGAAAAAGTTTGCACATAAAATGGCATACAAAATGGAAATATCCATAAGTGCAAGATGTTAAAACCAAATATACATGCTTCAAATTCGTCCAGTAACAAACACTGTCCAGGTTGAGAAATGTGGGAGCCCCAAACAAACAAACCCACACTCCATTTTGAGAGACACGACAAAAACTACATGAGAGAAAAAACTGAGCCAGTCACTTCCAGCAGCATTACAGCGCTGTGAAAGCTGGTGACATGAGAGAATGTAAAGCCAAAGGCAGCATCATAAGCAAGCAAGGAGACCATTTGCTGTGAACTGTTAGGTACCTATTGAAACCTTAACATGCAATAAAATGGTAGCTAACTTCCCAGAGCATTGCAGAATCAGATGCATTTGTGTGAGTCTGGCATTACTACAAACCATCAACTCATGTGTCACATACACCAAAGACTGATCAGCTCATAACTGCAGAACTCACCCGTAAGGCAGCCTCTAGTACTGAACATTCTGACATGGCTGGGCAGTGTTGTGGCCTGTAAAATAACCACAAGACATACACAGGCAGATTGCTGCTTTTAGTTATATTCACCTGCAAATTAGCTAAGACAATCAATGAGCATACATTCAACACATCATCTTGAAATATATTGCAGCATGCCAAACACATCACCAGGATGGGTTGGAAAAAATCCTGCTGTGGCTATAAAATATATTTGCTTCCTAACCACCCCCTTCAAACTGGACATCACCACCATCACACACCATTGCACAGGAAGAACAAAGGTGTACAAACAGAAACAGGGTATTTTTCATGGCTGATGTGACCAAAATGGGTTCTTCCCACTAGCATACAACTTATGGCTAGGCAAACACTGATCTTGCCAAGCACTGGGGCACATTAACACGTGCTCGGTGGGGGGTCAAATTGAGCCTCCCAAAGGTTTTTTCCAGAATGGTTTCTGAGCGGCGCGGCACAGCCGCGCCAAATTTCGCTTAGCTGTAGACAACTGAATAGCAGATTGTTTGGTACAAAAATTAGATGTGACCTTGTGGCCTTGTAAGGTTGTTGACCTATGGCAGGTCAGAGCCAAGCTAGGGTTTCAGAGAAGACAAGTTCTAGGGAATCGTTCAATCTGATGCAATGATGGAGAGTTAGACAAGGTCACACATCTCTGAGATGCTTTACTAGGCAATGCAAATATTGAATGAGCAAATTATCTTGACCTAAGGTCAGGTATGAAAGCCAGACCAAGCTCAAAACCAACCCGTTTTATCAATCTAGGGCTTGCTGTTTGGGGTACTTTCTGGTGCTCATTTCAAATTTACTGAACACAGAAACCACATTATACATTGTCCATGGACTTCTTACAGGTCAGAATAGGTCATTGAGCTAAAATGACCCCAGTCAACATTTTTCTTCTTTTGAGACATACTGCCCAGCATAATCATTGTCGCTTATCCACATGCAACACTTGGAACAGTTTTGTATGATTTTGGTCACCATGACCTTCAAAAGGTCAAAAAAGGTTACTGACCTTGAATGAGCATGTGGCTATTTGCTTAGAAACAGATAGCTGGATTGTGGAGATACTTTGGAAACCAACCAGGAACTTGACCTTGTTTGACCCGATTTGACCCAAAAGTCATGACCTGCAAACCTCAAATTTTGACCTGAGTTCACATACAGATCAACATATCCTGCAAATTTGGTGTCTAGCTCTCTTACTTCCCGAGATATCAGGGGGTCAAACCGACCCCCCACCCGAGTGAAGGGTATCTAGCTGGCCACCCGGGCACATGTTAAGCTTTAGCCACCAAACTATGATGCTGGCCTAAAATTTCATAATTACATGGTGTAGTCAGGGTTCATATGGCAAACAATGCTTTACATAGGCTCTCATCCCAGAAATCCATCTATTCAAAGGGACTTCAACTTATCTGTTAAAGAAAGAAGCGATTTCCACAGCCACAGGATGGGGAGTTGGCAACAGTACCCATCATTCTATCTCAGGCAAGACATATACATATAAATGATATTCTGTATATCAGCATATCTGCAGAGCCAAAGTTTCCTGCATGATGTCCCTTCAGCAAATGCTGAGCAATGGTCAGTTATAAGTTGATTAAACATTGCTTTTGTCATTAAGGTCACCTACATAGTTAACATCACTGAATGGTTGGCTGACGTATACCGCTATTTCATTATTCACATAATGAAAAGATTAGCAACTCCCAGGTGTGGGAAAATGTGATCAAGTCAGTGTTTCTATTTCTGAACTATTCGGCTACACATCTGCAATAGAAATAAGCATAAACGAGGCCAGAGAAAAAAACGCTTGTTACCCTTCCCACCTGGGTGCTGTCTTCGAAATATCGTTTACGTGCAAGTTACCACCCTAATTTTACAGATACAACCCCGGATACATGCCGAGCGTCGTGGAGGACCATTTAAATGCATGCAAGAAACGCAGCGCAGTCAAATGTCTTCAGAGTGTCATATTGTCTTCCCGTACTTTTTCCTCTGATTTTCTCCTCACCGACCCTCAAAGGTGTCTACGTTGATATAAAAAGCGTTCATGTCGGCACGAGATTTACATGTGTATTCAGGGTGATATTCGGGACCAACAATATTCTTAAATTTAAAAGGGTATGGCTTGCAAACTGCACTGCATGATCTTCAATAGGTCTATTTCGGTTCAATACCCCATGCAAATGTAAACACTTCCCTCATGGAATATTCAATATGTGACTGACAATCCGCGCCAACGCATTGCAATCATCCGGGGTGTGAGCGGGATTTCCCAGGGGGAAGGGGTGCAGCTCTATTCATTGCAAACAAATAGCATCACACGCGCAACATAAACGCTTAGTTTCTTTCATGACACTGTTATAGCACGACCGGTTTGCACTTAGGTTAGTTTTCGGTGTTCATTTCGATTCTCCAATTTTCAAGGAATCTTCAAGTGTCTATGTGCGAACAAAACTTTGATAGGGGTGGGGCCCGTGCCTCGCGTCCCCCACCTCAATCGCTTCACCTACATAGCCCGTTTAAAAAACCGCTGCCAGGCAACACGCAGGGGCCCCGGCGCTGCTACACGCTCACCCCCACACGTCTGGATTGGCATCACATCGGCATTCCCGCTAGCATCCTGTCTTGCATGTTTCGCAATACCTGACGCCGACGGAGCCCTTTATGAAGACGAGATCTACGAAAACGTCTCGCGCAGAGCAACGTAATATCTGGAACGTTATATTAACTAGTTTAGTGATGCAAAGCACTGAGACCGCCGCGTCGCACTAGGTAAATGCAGTAAATGCGGCAGTACCGGACGATCTACAATGTTGCAACGGCACTGGCCGATCCACAATGTTGCAACAGTACTGGACGATCTGCAATGTGCCAGAACGCACTCTACACAAACTCAATAACCCACAATATATTTGGATGACTAGGAAACTCTGTCGCAGGCCTCGCTCCCCGGTGTCCAATTCATCATGTTCGCTCCTGGTCTGTCCCCCAAGATGGACGCAAGCCGTTATGCCAATGTGTCGTGTATTTGTCAAAAAAATCACTCCCTGGCGCTATGATGGATTTCCTTCCCATCATTTGGAATAGCTCAAACAGCACCCCGCCGCGCGGTTAACAGACAACTCCCCTGACAGTTGGTGGTCATCAGAACAGTCGGCGACGCCATATAGAGACGCGGGATCGTTCAAACAGGCGCGATGAAATGAAACAACGCAATATGAAGTTCTGGTCGATACAACATCGGAGCCGACGGAAATGACACATCCGACCACAAAAGCTTCGCAAACACCTGTGACGGGACGCCGCGTGCCACGTCAGACGTCATCCAGTGACGTCACCAGAAACCCGCCGGTCTCCGATGACGTCACAGTCAGCCGACCGGGCGGCGGCGGCGGCGGGCCGGCCCGCCTAGATGAGCAGCTTCTCAATCTCCAGGTGGAGACTCTGGATCTGCGGCTTGAGCTGCGAGCCTTCGTCGACGGTGACCGCACAGGCGATGACGGCACGGGACACGCCGCAGGCGCGACCCAGCGCTGGCGACACGGGTCACAGGGTCAGGCAGGGGTCACAGGGTCAGGGCACAGTTCCACCAATCGGGCAGAGCATTGACGGTTGTCAGAGGCATCAGAACTCAGTGTTAGGCCAACCAATACCACGCCAGCAGGATTGCGGCACAGGTCAGAGTTCAATAATGGCCTGAGTAACCGGTCATAAGTCAGGGATCGAACCTCCCATCTGAGCCAGGGGTGTCGGTAGTGCAGTGGTTAACGCGCCTGCGTCAACCACTGCGCGTCTGGGAAACCAAAGGTACGGGGTTCGATTCCCCGCGGTGCCCGCCCTTCCTGCCACGGTGAGAGGCAGGCGACGCCCATATAGCCTCAGCAGCTGAGTGCGTCATAAACCCCCAACGACCGGCCGACGACCTGAGCCACTTTATCATTAATTGTCATGAGCGACTGCGCCTAGCACCAAATACTCCGTTGAGAGTGAAGTAAAACAAGCACAACCACCATGGTTAAATCTGGGTGCATGCATGCACCCAGCCATAAAAAATACTCCCATCAACACACTGCAAGTGATCTCCATTTCTGTAAGTTCCCTCACATCAGCATCGGCTCACCCTGCTTGCTGCGCACGAAGACATAGGAACGTTCTTGTCCTCGCACAGCAGAGGTAGGTGAAGCAGGATCTCGAGCGGCTCGGCGTCGGCTGTCATCACGATGAACTCGGCCAGCCCACGGTTCAGCGCCTTGGTCGCCTCGTTCGCCCCCTTCTTCAGCTGCTTGTAGTTAGCAGCTTGCTGCACCAGGTTCAGGATCTTGGCAGTGAGAGCGGCGTCCGCCAACGGGTACGCCTTGGGGTTCACCTCCGG